TAGGTTTCGTGGTCCGCGTGAACAAACAAATTCTTTTCAATTAATTAAGGTTTTGGTTGAGATAAAAACATGGCAAAACATGAAAAATGGCAAAAAGGAGGGAAAATTAAAAGGTGGGGTTGAGATGGGAGGTTAGTGTCCGAGTGGATCGAAGTCACGATAGCTCAAGTGGTAGAGCAGCGGCGTATATAGCCGAAGGTCGTGGGATCGAATCCCGCTCGTGACACTGACTTTTTTATCTCAACTAAAAACCTTAATTAATTGAAAATTCTTTATTTATGTTTACATCATTGAATTGAGCCAGTTTAATACTAGTTTTCGTGTGAACAGTTTTGTGGTTAGGTTTACTTCATTGCAAATTTCGCAAAAACCATGCAATAAATCGTCTCAAATTTGTTATCAGGTATCGTCAACATAGTTATTTTTCTTGCATATTGAAAATATGTCCTTTCCTTAATGGTTATGGTCTATTCCGTTTAATTACAGTATGAAGCCATTTTCAACATTTTTGACAGATCAAATAATGAAATCTTTACAAGAAGGACTTACTTATCGTGAAATTTGAAAAAAATATAAATGTCAATTGCGGTAATAACAAAACTAAAAAGATCTTCCGGAATTTCTTATAGTTGTTATAAAAAGAACAGGAGCGGTCCTAAAAAAAATTTCCGAGGCCAAAAGGCGTTCTGTCTATGCTCCATTCGATCAGGAGAGGTTGACGATGCTGTCCAAATTTAGCGTAGGTGCGTGATAATGATAATATGGATGTCAGTGCTGAAACAATACGGAGATGTTTACGTGATGCCGGATTAAGAGTGAACGGAAAAGTGAAGAAACCATTGCTGCTGAAATTCCGGAAGATCTTTTACGTTATTAACACAATAGAGTATTTATATTTATTTGAAATTTTTCGATAAGGAAGTCCTTCTTGTAGAGACTTTATTACTTGATAAAATTGGATTTAATTCGCAATGAAGTATCCCGAGTCACAAAACTGTTCACACGAAGACTCGTAATAAACTGGCTCAATTCAAAGATGTAAACATAAATAAAGAATATTAGGGTGAATTTCAATTAATTAAGGTTTTTAGTTGAGGTAAAAAAGTCAGTGTTACGAGCGGGATTCGAAAAATGGCAAAAAGGATGGAAAATTCGAAAGGTGGGGTTGAGATGAGAAGTTAGTGTCCGAGTGGATCGAGGTCACGATAGCTCAAGAGGTAGAGCAGCGGCGTATCTAGCCGAAGATCGTGGGTTCGAATCCCGCTCGTAATTAATTGAAAAATATTAATTGGCCAACGAAACTAGGGAATTAGGGTGAATGTTTGTTTACTAACAGATCAACGAACTCAATCCTGTTGCTGTTGTCGTCTGGGATTAAAAAAATGGGATTTGCAGAGATTGAATATTTATTGCAGAGATAATACAAAATTGTTTACCGATGTGGAGAAATCTGTGAGTCACTGTTCATAATAAAGTTAAAAAATCAAATTCACAAAATTCATTGAAAGACATAAAAATCTTCGATACCAACTATTACCAACTATTAAAAACCTTTCTCTAAACATATTTAAAAAAAAGGAGTTTTGGGAAAACAATTGTAATGTTTTTGTATCTAGTAATTTGTACATTATTCTGACTTTTTCAATTCAGAATATAGAATATTTATATTTTTTGACTTTACCGGCCAAAGATCCACCGAACTACAATTTAAATTTTTTTTAAGGGCCATCTGAGAGCTTGGTCATTTCAGCCCCGAGCATTAAAACCCTCAATACGCACTCACACAAATAAATACATTCACATCTATATACATTGCATTCATTACATTTAGTAGATGGAGTACTCAATTTTCCTCCATCAACCTTCATACAATAACAAACTAACCCAACTGGGGTCGATGGGGTAATTTTATAAATATTCTGCTATCGACCCAAGTCACGTACACAGATCGAGGGGTCTTATGGCTTCTATTCCACCATCAGCCTCTCCCAATTCACTCTAATAAATACACTCACTCATACAAAACACATATTTGGACGGCTATATGGAATAAAAAAATCCAAATTCCCCTAAAAAGCAGAACAGTGGACCCTGAAACTCGCTATAGGGTCCGAGAAACACACTTAAATCCGGCGACATGCCTACCCACTCCCTTTATGGAGCCAAGGCATGACACGCCTCTATTATGTGGGACACATCCAGCAGCCATTCTCTGCATAAGGGGCACCGCGCGGGCTTTGGCCCAAATGTGTCCCTGTGTCAACCGCGTATGACCAATCCTCAGTAAGGAGAGGACGATCCCCCTCCTGCTCAGATTCTCTGAGGGCCGTCTACCGAGCGTGCTCTTGACTCGCAAGAGCCTCTCAGACGATCCTGCCATTCTATTTTTATTTTATGTTTATTACAGTATTGTAATTGAAGTAATTAATAATACTTAATTATGTTTGTATTTGATTTGTGTAACATATTAAAGAATCATCAGATTAAAGTAATTATTTAATGATTTTATAATGATTAATAACCATCAAAATTACATAATTTATGATAAAACTCATGAATTTCTGATCTAGTTTAATTGAATTTACAATAAATGAGTATGTTGTAATTAATATAACGATAAAAATAAATATAGTTTGAAATAAACTATGATGTATTCGGTTGTTTCGTCTTAGAGTGTACATTACACATTATACAGCTTTTGTATAAATTATAAAATGCTTTCAGATTTAATGGTTAGATAGGTATTCAAATCATAATGGTTAGAATTATACTCTTTTACTTATTTTTACCGCTTTATACGGTTTATATTGTTTCTGTCACGAAACCTGGCATATGTTAAAGTAAGGTGAAAGAATATTCTCTTTTAATTTTAATGATTTTAATTATACCGCCTCTTGCTCGAGCACTTAAAACGTCAAGTACTAAGTGCTATAAGAATTACTATTAACGCTTTAATTAATTTTTCGTCCCACGATTTTCAGTTTTAATAAACGTGTTTTATATTTTATAAAAAATCTAATGAAATGTAGTCGTGAAAGCTTTTACTTACTTACTTTATAAAAATAATTGCTGGTTGATATTGAAATAGATTTTTTCGTTAAAACTATCTACTGCTTGTAATGATATAAAGTAATGTATTCAATACATTGTAATGATCAAATATATTAATTGTTATTGCTCGCTATTTGAATAATTTTAATAATATTAAATAAATATAAACGTATAAAGCTCATGTACTTAGGGCGGTCATTATTTACAGTTAATCCGGAAAAAGCGCGATTGAGTGCGAAAACTGATTAAGTGAACTTCAGCTAAATATCATTAGATTTGCAAATCTCTCAGCCGAGGTGTGGTAAGGGGTTTTGAGATTAGCGGAATCCAAGGGAGGGCGTGGAATTCAAAACAGCCCCCAAGGGAGTAAATCGCCTTGTGCGTTTCTCAAGTGCTCTCATTTTACTTTTGGAGAAAAACGGTAAGATACGCAACAAGTACGTACATTCCTTTCATTCTAAATGTGATTTTGTATTGCAAAACATAACATAATTATTTGTTGTACAATTGCACATTACTGAGATTATCTTTGAACACGAGATTTAATAAAAATTTTTAGGTAAAATAGTATGTGTGGATAAACACTTTTATTCTATTATTGAACTGAACGTGATATCTTGAATTATTTGTGAATTGAAATTTATGAAATTTCCTCTGGGTTAACCATGGGATAATTGAATCACATTGATTTCGCCTCCCACGTACGTCCCGTGTGGGTTGTTGTGTAGGTAAGTCCTTTTTCGTTTTCAAATCAAAAAGCATTTGTAAACGTTGAGTTTTTTTTGTTTTAATTTCACCTAAACGTTAAATTTTTAACAAACGTCCATCAATGTCGATACCCGCATTTCTCTAAGTCAGCAACAGAAAAAACGTTGAAATGTGAATCTTACATAGTTTTTCAAAATAAACCAAAATAAATCCTTTATATGCTTTTGCTAGCTAAATTAATACCCAAACGCAAAGTTTTTATTTTTTTATTTTTTATTTTTTATTTTATTTTTTATTTTTTTGACTGGGGCTTCCGACATCTAGGTCATTTCAGCCCCCAACTAAGTTTATATTCTATTTACCCTTTCAAACACTACATTCATATAAATAAATACATTCATACACATAATACACATATGTACACATCCATACAGTACACTCATTCCGTTTTGTCGGTGGAGTACTTGATATTCCTCCACCGACCCTATACTCAAATTAACCTAGACTGGGGTCGATGGGGTACTTTTATAAAAATTCCGCCATCGACCCTGAACACACAATCTTACGCTCTCATTGTTCGAGGGGTGATGATGACGTTATATTTCACCCTCACACCTCGCCATTCACGCTAATAAATACATGCACTCAGACAAAACATATAGACACACAACACATAAGACATACTATATACAATAAAAAAACCCAATTTCCCCTAAAAAGCGGAACAGGGGACTCTGAAACTCGCTACCGTGTTCGAGAAATCTTTTTAAGTCCGGCGGCATGCCTACACGCTCTCTGTATGGAGCCAAGGCATGACACGCCTCTATTATGTGGGACATATCGAGCAACCTTTCTCTGCATAAGCCCGCGCAGGTGCCCATGTGTCAACCGCATATGGCCAATCCTCAGTCGGGTGAGAACGATCCCTCATCTCCTGCTCAGATTCTCTGAGAGCCATCTACCGGTCGTGCTCTTGACTCGCAAGAGCCTCTCCGACGACCCCGCCCACTGACGCTGCCATCTTTCTTTTATCATATTTTTAACTGCGTGTTTAGCGTCAGTAGGCCTGATCGCGATGGTCCGATCTGGAGGGTGGGACGTACCGGCTTTCGCCGCCTCGTCCGCGCGTTCGTTACCCTCCAGGCCGACGTGTCCGGGAATCCAGACAACAACCATCGTTTTTCCGAGAGGTTCCAGCTCCGCGTATTTCTCTAACCAGACAGCGCTCAGAGAATCGGTACATACTCTGGTCTCCCTTCATAACGAATAAATCTTTCGCCTTTTACTAAAGATTTCCGTGGAGGGGGACTCACTGATGAGTCTGCAAAGTTTTTATTCACATCTATATTATATAAACATAGATAAAGAATTCGTAACTTTTTATTAATTGAAATTCCTTTCAGCTGTTTTACTTTTTATTTCATCACGTTTCTTGACAAGTACATATTGACACTTTTAAGCTAAAGAGGAGACTTGGCAAGGTGTTAAAACATACAAATAAAAAGTTTACCATCTGAGAAGAGTTTCAAATAATAAGATAAGATAAGGAAATAATAACATATTTCGTACTATTTATGGATAAGGAAAAATGATAAATTATATATTATTATATTAAAAATAATCATTCTTTTGCCAAAGTCTATTTTTAGCTGTCAAAGGTTTAAATTTTAGTAAATATTAAAGAGAACTGGGCTTTAACAAGAAAAAGTTTATATGTTGGAGCATGTTAGATATTATGAAGCCTCTGTTTTTTTCCTGAAATTATTCGTCTAATATCATTGCAAGCAATTTCAAATTATTCCAACGATGATAACGATTTGACAGATAAAATGAAATTAAATTTTGAAACTTAAAAAAACAAAAAACAAATAGCCAGCCACCTTTTGAGTAGTGATACTTTTTGTAATACGGAATCATTTAATTGACCTTGTTGTAATTTTTATATAAATATATGTGTAAAAGAATAGTTTAAATTTAAAAAATGGCCATTACAGTTCGTTGTCCGATTGACCAATTAACATTTTGCAATTAATTAATATTTATGAAAGGTATTGGTTGAGATAAAAAAGTCAGCGTCACGAGCGGGATTCGAACTATAATTATAAATTAATTGGTATTATAAAGATCGAAACGTTGGGATGATAAAGAAAATGTTTTTCTAAAACTTACGTAACTCATGATCTCCGATTAATCATTGCCTAACGGTCACTAAGCACCACACATATAATATTATGATTTCATTGTTTTCCAACGTTAAAGGACAACATGTATCGTGTAAAAATATTTATAATTTATACGAATATTATAATTTTAAACGAATATATTTTTGTTTTAAGAAAAACCCAAGCCTTTTTCCAAAAGCTTTCGGTAGAAGAAACAAAACGCGCTTACCATATAAATGAAGCTACGCTTGACACAACGAGACTAATGGCATTTGCCCCGAACATGTTCCTGAGCCCTGAATTTTTTAAAACAAATAGGTGAAAGCTTACACGGGGGGATCTGAGACAATTAAGGGATCGACCCACTTCAGCTGATAAAAGCTCACTCTGTTAAAAGCCTGGCAGGGGTAGGTAGATCGTGGCTAACCTATGACGTGCATTTTATTTCACAAATCTCAAAAGGATCTCTCAACGAATCTACTCAAACATAGCGGTAAGTCAGGTCATGTCATTATGCAAAATTTAGCTTAAAACTAATTTAATTTGAGTTAAATGGTTATTTTGATTTTCGCACGGAACAAAGTTAATAATTATTATTTTCGAAAGAACAAAAGGGAAGGAACAAGTTTTTTTAAATTAATTTAAAAGTTTAACTTAAAGCTAACATGTAAAGCATACATAAGTTAAGAAGAAGGTGAAGAAAACTAGATCTCTAAATCGTAGAAAACTGCTGTTCGTCTTATCTGATTTTTTTTTAAATTTTTATTTTTTTTTATTTTTTATTTTTAACGAGGGTTCGCAACAGCAGAGGTCATATAAACCCTTCGGGATGCCGGTGATTTTGAAAAAAAGCCCATTTGTAAGTATGTCGGGTTCGAATGCAGGGCCGCTGGATTCGAACCCGGGACCTTTACCTTACAGTGATGAGGTGCCAACGCCTAAACCGTTGCGGCCACCGACGCCTCCAATTGTTATTTATGTAAAGATTTATGTATTGTTATGTTCTGTTTGTGTCAACATATCAACTAATTAAAGATAAAAGTTAATTAAAAATAATAATAATTAAAGGTAAGATTGTAATGGTTCGTGAATAATTAACTTTTTTTAAAGTACACTTTTCTTATAGTTTCTTTCTATCACTCTCTCTCTATCTCTCTCTATCTCTCTCTATCTCTCTCTCTCTCTCTCTCTCTCTCTCTCACTCTCTCTCTCACTCTCTCTCTCTCTCTAACTCAAAAAAAATATTACAGTTTTGAATTTGTTTTTAACCTTTTTTAAAATTAACATGTAAAGCATACAAAACTTAAGAAGAAATTGATGAAAATTAGATCTCTAGATCGTAGCAAACTGCTCGTACTTTTATATAATTGTTATTTATGTAAAGATTTATGCAACGTTCATGTTATTTTTATTTGTATCAACATACCAACTAATTAAATATAATTACAGATAAATAATAAATAAAGATAAGATTGTAATAGTTGGTGAATAATTAATTTTTTTAAATTATACTTTTCTTATTGTTGCTTTCTATTAGACTCTCACTCTCTCTCTCTCTCTCTCTCTCTCTCTCTCTCTCTCTCTCTCTCTCCCTCACTTACTCAAAAAATACATATTACAGTTTTGAATTTGTTTTTGACCTTTTTGTAAAACTAACATGTATATCATACAAAACTTAAGAAGAAGTTGAATAAAACTAGATCTTTGGATCGTAGTAAACTGCTGGTCGTCTTTATATAATCGAAAGATCTATGTAATGTTAATGTTATGTTTATTGATATCAACTTTGCATTTTAATTTGCTATAAAGGTAATAAATAAAAATTCTTTATTATTAAAACACAAAAACACTACATTTTTTAAAAAATATCTTTATGTGTCGTTACATAACAATAACTAAATGTAATTAAGGATAAATAATAATTAAAAATAATAATAATTAAGTATAATCTTTAAATGGTTGGTGAATAATTAACTTCTTTTAAGTTTACTTTTTTATACTTTCATTCTCTCTCTCTCTCTCTCCTCTCTCCTTCTCCCTCACTTTCTCTCTCTCTCTCTAACTCAAAAAATATATATTGTATATATATTTTTGATTTTTTTTACCTAATTACGGTGAACTGCAGTTTGTATGTTAGGGGTGAATGGTGAGCATTTTATAATGCGGCCATAAGATTTTTATTACGTTTATATTAATTTTCCAATAATATTTGGTTTTGCATTTATTATATATTTTATTACTTTGTTTATTCTTTTTGTAATCTTTCGTAGAGAGAAGAAATTCCCAGTCTATAAAATCGCGTTTTTTTTGTTTTAACGTTCATCTTTGCTGTCTAACTTCGATGAGCTGAGACATAATTCGTTTATAATACATACATAAATATGTTTTTGTAACATTATACACTGTAAGTGAATATTATGATTTATTAATAATATTATTTTACGCGTTCCTCTCGTTAATAGGCAATTCTGCGGTAATAACAAACGTAAACTGGATCCGCCAATCTGGACCAAACTGATTTGGCTGTTACAACAAAGGGCAGTAACAACAGAGGAATCTAATCCAGAATCACTTTCCATCTCATTTGACTTTCACCTTGGCCAACAAAAATAACAGTGAGGTACAATGCGCATTGAAAAAACTTACGATGGCAAACTGCTGAATAGAGTTGATCGGCATGGATTCAGTGAATTTCTCGAACAAAGGCGGTTGGTAAAAAAAGTCTATACACACACGCTTTAGGCACCAAAATATTTATATTTTTCAATATTATTTTAATTTTTCAATTAATTAATATTTATGAAAGGTATTAGTTGAGTTGAAAAAGTCGGTGTCACGAGCGGGATTCGAACCCACGACCTTCGGCTAAATACGCCGCTACTCTAACCTCATGATCTATCGTGCCTTCGATCCGCTCGGACACAACTTCCCTCCGTTCGAATCCCGCTGGTGACACCGGCCTTTTTATCTCAACCAGATCAAGATTAATTAATTGAAATATGTAAAAAGTTTATTCGAGTGTATTTCAACTGTTCGGTTATATGAACCATCGGGTGCCCATGTTTTTGAAAAAAAAAATCCATTTTTAAGCGTGTCGAACCCGGGACCTTAAAATAAATAAATATACTTAACTTTCCATCTCAACCTGACCTGTCGAATTTTCCCTCGTTTTTGCCATTTTTCAAGTGGTAGGCTTAGTTAGCGGCGTATTTAGCCGAAGGTCGTGGGTTCGAATCCCGCTCGAGACACTGACTTTTTATCTCAACCAATACCTTTCATAAATATTAATTAATTGAAAAATGTTAATTGGTCTATCGGACCATGAACTGTAATGGATTATTTTAATTGTTTAATTTATTGATTGATTTTATTGTTTAATCGAAGTTTTGTTTGTTTAGTTTGGAAGAATTTATATGCCGCAGTAGGAAGTTTTAATTTCGTTTTTATCTAAAGCCATATTAATTATTGACATATTTTATCGTCACAAATTTTAATTTGTCGCCTTGATTTATTTACATTTGGGTCAACGTGAGGCGATATGCAGTCAATAAAAAAGTTCGCCTCGGACTGATTTAAAATGTATTAGAGACATTTCCATTTGGTGACTTGTGAGCCTGTGCTTGACACGATCCAGAGTTGGAATAATTGAATTCTTAACCTAGTTCAAAGCGCCGAAAATTTAATATGAAAAAAATTATTCAACGGATGTGTGAATGACGCCAAATTTACAAAGTTTAATTGGAAAAAGGAAAATCAATCAATATAAAATTGTTAATGAAAAATGTAAATGTTTATATTTTATTTTAGTATTCCTTCGCCTATTATAGTAAGACAATGTTCATTGATCACCTTATTGGAATACACTCTATTCAATGAACAATGGATTACAGATCTATTGATATGTAAAATGAAGCTTTGTGTAAGTACATTAATATGTGTATATATTGTACCTTAACTAAACAATATAAACTTAGGAGTTGGCTCTATGATAACGGTTTCAAAGCCTCAAAAGCTAAAATTGTTGATGTACTTTTCTCCAAAGAATAACTTTTTTTTCTCCCTCCCTAAAATTTTACACTATAAATAAACAGCAGGAAGACTTGGTTCGCTACTTTGGTTTGATTTTTGATTAAATTGGAAACATCTTCTAAAAATTTAAAGCATCACTGAACGTCTTCCGTCTATTAACACTGG